CCCCCCCCCCCCACATTGGAAAAAAAAGTTAAGCTTCCCAATGTTGCACAAAAACAGATGCTAAAGCTTTCTGTGTAACCTGTCCTCAGTGTGTGTGTGTGTGTGTGTGTGTGTGTGTGTGTGTGTGTGTGTGTGTGTGTGTGTGTGTGTGTGTGTGTGTGTGTGTGTGTGTGTGTGTGTGTGTATACTCTAAATGGCAATTATTTTTATCTGTCAACACATACAGTATATTAAAATGTTCTAAATACAGTAGACGAGGGATGTGCCTGCATGAGGCTCAGAGCATTTTCTTTCTATATTTTTTGAAGTTACATAACACAATAGATTTAGCAAGAAATGTACTTTGTTAAATTTGAGTGATTACTTAAATGTAACGAGATGCAAGCTACAGTAGTAAAGTGTCCAGAAAACTCTTCAGTATTAGACACTGAGTCAGGATTGAAACAGGTATTTCCTGCAGCAGAGGACCATGTGATCATGGACGCAGGGGAAACCGATGTTATGAGGATCTGCGCGGCTGTTTGTGTGGCTCGTACACATATAGTATCCTGTACAGCCATTGTTGTGGAGGATTGTTCACAGCAGATGTGGTGGAGGAAATAGGATGTGAAGATATATATCCCGGAATGACTCATTATGTGTTCTGACAAAGAGAGAAATATCATTTGGATAGTGAATGTTCCCCTCTGAAATTGACGGGGAAAACTATTTGTATCAGATCATTTTAATGTCCCTCCAACTCATTTAATATAAAGGGAACAAAGGCAGCTATCCTGCCAACTAGTGACAATGCTATCAATGGTTGAGAAAAAACTTTATTCCAACAGTGTACATTTGACTGATTCAATACAACAACAACGAAATGTTGTTAAGAATGATTGGATTGTGGATAAAAGATGGACAATATTAAACACAATAAAGCCAAATCAAGCAGATTGAAGTTAAGATCATCCCTAAAACTTTAAGATTGTAACAGAAAAAGCTATGCACCTCATGTTTATGCTATATTTTAGGGCCAGAGCTGAAGAACATCAGCCTGATAATCAAACCAAGCTCACATCTGTTTAATTCATTATTCAGTATACATTGTGTTGATTTGATCCAATTCCTGTTCAGAGGCAGGACAGGAAATAATGTTATTTGAGAAGATAACTGCAGATTTGATGGCTTTTTCACAGGACGATAACATCCCAGGCTGGTTCTTAGATCCAAATAAAAAGCTCTGACTGTCTTGTTCGTTTCTCTAAACAGGGAAAAGATGCAGCTATCTTTGTATAATGTAATAATAAGAAAACTGTTGTTAAGATATAGGCAGAAAGAACAGCTTCAGGTATTGTGGCAGACACTAAAAAAAACTAACCTGAAAACATCACTGATTGATAATATTTAACGAAGTACAACAATCTCAGATGTTCTTTCTTTAAACCACATGTATGTGAAACCCCAGAGGAGATGCTGATGTTAATTATTACTCAGAGCTATTATAAATTAACACCTGACCTAAAACGAGACAGTGATGTGTGACGGTGCAAATTGTACCAAGTAAAGTAAATCAGTAGAGCATGGGACACACACTCTTCTAACATATGAAATTCATCCGCTGTGTTACATTATTGAAGAGGTTCGCTCACACTAACAACCAGTGCTGCAGTGTGTTAGCCCTGCAGCTAAAACAGGCCTCTGTACCAGCATTGTACTCTGATGTGACGCAAGGAAATCCATTTAAAAATCTGAGGAGTGAACAGTGTGTGTGTGTGTGTGTGTGTGTGTGTGTGTGTGTGTGTGTGTGTGTGTGTGTGTGTGTGTGTGTGTGTGTGTGTGTGTGTGTGTGTGTGTGTGTGTGTATATTGTGGACGGCATGGATGCTAATACAGCACAGCACTGTCTTTTGTCTGTTCCTTGTCATTGTAATTTTATGCACAGGCATACGTGAAGCAGCCGCAGCATTGTGATCCCATGTGTTTTCTTGTGAGGGTGCATTGTGTGGAGGTATCAATGGCTACTGTGTGCGTCTTGAGGCAGGCTGTCTGGATCACACACACAAAATAAAAAGTCTAGATTAGTTTTTGTACTGAGGAAAAGAGAGCTAGGTGAACAGGGATTTCTGTCTGTGATTTTAAGCGTGTATGCGTAGCTATAAAGTATGAATCTCTGTCTGGCTGTATGTCCTTCACATATCTCAGGAACTGTTCATCTCATCTTCTGCATTGCTCATGAAGTCCTATTAGATTATCAAATGACGTTGTTTAAACACTTAACTGAGCAAACTAATCAAGACAAGATATTACATTTGAGGCAATTATTTTATAACCAACAATTGTCAGGCAGACAGGAAAAGCATAGCACTCACATTAACCATTGCACTATTTTATCGGTTTCATTTGTTCTATGTCCTATATATACAGTATGTGTACGCCGTGTCCTTTTGCAACAGCGACCGTTTCATTGCAGATAAGGCAAACAGGTGTAGCCTTATTGAACGATGGCATGATGAATGCGTATTTATCCGTCCATTCCTCATTAAAACTGCGGTTTTCCACGTCAACTTTACGCTTGAGGCTCTTGACAGTGATATTTTTGCGTCCACCAATCAGGACATGGTATTAATAAAAAAGTGGATTCCTTTCCCTGCCAATCAGGACTGCTTTCAGTTTTATTACCCCCGGATACAGGCTTATAAAAAAAAAGATAAATGTTTCAATAAAGTGAACATATTAATCAATTATTTATAAATCTCTGGACCCCGAAAGTGCGTCTAGGATTAATTTTGGCCCTTGGACAAATGTAGTTGGTGACCTCTGCACTAGAGCATTTGACTTGGACTTGGTTTGTGCATGTCGTGTGATTTGCCTCATGTTACACCTCAACCTATTGGTCATCAAGGTTATTGGAATTAAAGTCATGGTAGATTACCAGAACATTTTATGATCACTAGACGGCTGCTCTTCCTCCTGAGCCATGCTGCTACCTAAATGTCAAGTAGGAAACTACTGTTCGAGCTGCCACAGGCCAAACATGGGCCAGCTGTGTTGAATACGGGTCAGTACATTTGTCCTCTATCCAATTATGAATGTAATGTAGGAGCCACGAAACGTACATAGTAATGCATTTTGAATCTACACATCTGTTTTGTACTAGTTTTATATTTGAGTAATGGTTAGTATTATCATAAGATATTTGTTTAATCGCAATGGGTTGCTTGCTTTGGGTCACATGGTTATGGGCGGCACTCAGGGGAATTATAATCCTGTTCACCTGCGTGAGGTGTGTGTGTGGAAGAGAGGGGGACTCAGGGTCGTTGTACTTTTTGTTGACCGCAAGATTTATGATTGCTTTGATTATTAATATTACAATGTTTATGTTTGATCATCGCGTTACTTTCATTAAACTACATTACTATTGATTGAGTTTTGATCTAAGCAAGTACTTTTTTTTGCGTGTCATACAATATCAAACAGGCCTGGTATATACCTCAGCCGCTCAGCGACTTTGTTTGTTTCCTGCTGTCGCTATACTACTACTTGGTAATATAACAAATGTAGGTTCTGATAGAAGACAAAAAAAGGTCTGCTACCCTGCTGCTGTGTTAACTCTCAGCAGTCTGGCCTTGAGTTTAGCTTAGTGTCTTTTGGGGGGATTTTACAGTAAGAGGAAAGAGCCATTATGGCTGTAGGCCTCCAGATGCCATAGTGGTTCGGTCTGTCTGCCTGGGATCTGCAGAGGAATTCAACCTCTGCTGCTGGCTCACCCTTGTGTTTGCCTGGGCAAAGATAAGGACATTCAATGCATTCCTGAGACAGAGGAGAGGGGGGGAAAGAGATGGAGGACAGAAAAAAAGAGAATATGAGATGTGAAGCCTTTACAAATAAATTAAAGTAGAATAGAACGCGAGTGTGTTAATATAAGCACATTAACACACATACGCTTAGAAAAGAATATATCATTTGGGCTTCTCTTCTACCATCTGCAAATAATCACGCTGAGCCGTATAGCGCTATTCTCCATGTCAATTTAACAGCCTTCATTAAACCACTTAATTGTTGTTATGTCTGTGGGACCACACATAAACCCTGCTGCTCTCCTTCATGATATCCCTCTAAACACAAACAACACCAATATGGGAAAATACAATAAAACATATCTGTTCAAAAGTACATTGTGTCATTTTGGTAGAACCTCTTAAGCTCTTTATTTTAAGAAAGATGACAGAGCAACATTATATTTGTCCAGCTACAGTGGAAAAACGAATGGCTACGTGCCTTTAAAAGGGCATCTTGACCTCATGTGGCACCATTACTTGGCTCGAGAAACCTTTCGCGCTGTTTTCTCTTTGCCACATTAGGTTTCACTTGTTGTACCATCCGGCTTTGGATTCAAAAGAAAGTGGAAGCATAATGACCATCTGATGCTTGTTTTCTCATCGTGGCACCCTGTGGTGTGCAGACCATATTTTGACTTGGCCCGCAGCACTGGTATTAAAGATTATTTTTATGAGGTCGACCAGTTATGGATTTTTCTAAAAGGCAGATTGGACTCCATTTAATTGGCTGTCGTTTTTGGAGCCCTACAAGTGTACTTGACAAGCTCCAGCTTTTTGTCAGGAGGTTAAAAAACAAGTGTGCCATACAGTAAAAATGTATAATGATAAAACAATTAATACTTTCTCATTGTTATCTCAAAAACATGTTGTTCTGATGGTACTTAAAATAAATCTCTTATAAATGTTAACAACTTCCTGTCACCAACATGTGAAGCACGTTTCTAAATATAGATCATTACTGGTTTGAGCAAAAGCTAAAGAGGCTGACTGTGAGATGTTATCACAAGGATAAACACAAGCTGCGGGCTTAGCTATGAAAATCAGGTTTCATAATAAAAATGATATGAGAAACCCTGAGGTGGAAAACTGTTTCAAACACCTTTCCTAACTCAACCAATCTGCATTTGGTAAACACAGCATTCAGCAGGTTTTGACAGCAACAGTGCACAGTGCAGAAGTTGCCGATTCAAACCTGCTGAACTCTGACTCAGCATAAAGCGGGCCTTGAGAGTTTACATGCCCATAAGAAGGTTGCAGCTGTTAGGAAGCCAACAGCGCTACACAGTGTGTTTGTACCAAGCAGCTTCCTGTAGATGTGTGGGATTGAATGAATGTGAAGGAAGGTGTTGCTGAGAAAAACATGTTTACAAGTGCAACATGGGAAAAAAATTGCATTTCAAAGTACTTTTCCACTACAGGTCACTGAACTATTGATAACTATGTGCATGTGCTTGCCGGTGTGTGAGTTTGTGTGTCTGGACCTGACTTCAATTGGCCACGGTTGACTGGAGGTGTGTAAACGGTGCCACCTGGAGCGGCCTGACTCACTGCTGCTGGACTTAACCATTTGGATCCCAAGGAGGAGGAGAGCACACACTATAAATCTGTTTGTCATGTTTTTATATTCGATTAGAATCTCATTAAACATGAATGTAATAAATAGATAAGCATTATCTTTCAAGAGATCATAAAATCATGGTAAATATGCCTCCACACACAGGTTATATCTGCCTTTCCACTCCTACACTAGTGGCAGTCAGACTGGTGCTTTGGACAATCTGCTGATAGCATTACTAATATTGCTGCATCACTGTGTGTGTGTGTGTGTGTGTGTGTGTGTGTGTGTGTGTGTGTGTGTGTGTGTGTGTGTGTGTCAATAAGTGCTGCATCTTCAGTCCTGTGTGTATCTGCTGACAACACTGCACCCTCTCCTCATGCAGCAGTAACACATTGTGTCTGCCTCTCCTCTAGCACTGACACATCCTTTTCTCTTCCTCCCATTTCCCCCTGACCCACTGTCCTAGTTCCTCCTCCATCTGTTTTTCCAGTTTTACGGTCCATGTATCATCCGCCCTCCTGCCCTGTGCAGCTCGGGCAGTATAAATGACCTGCGTGCAGACTGTTGCAGTCGCTGGTCAGCATTTGCATAGAGCAGCTTTGACCTCAGCTTTGTGTAAATGAGTCAGAGCCGTACAGCACAGCGCTCTCACACAACATTTAAGTATATATAATAAAGGGTGTCACTGTATTTTCGCAGAATCTCATCATTGTTGGGATTTTTATTCACAGATATTATATCGATGAGAAAAGTTCATTTACATGATTTATAATTATTCTTGAAATAAGTACAAGCACACATTATTTTAAGACATATTTACATTTGTTCTTAGGGCATTATTATTGCTCGATTTGACCATGGCTTCAAGTTATTTAACATTACACTGTAGCCAATGATCTCTCTCTCTCATACTTTCAATCATCATACTTCCCATGAAACATGTCTCCTGTTTCCATCCCTCTAACTCCTCCTCATCTTTTACTTGTCTTCTCTTCTTCATCTCCAGACCTGAACTAAGTTACTTTTTGTATACCGATCAAAATACACCTCCTGAGTTTGTGGCGGAATAAATACGAGGACATACCAGGAGCGCTTGATTTGCATCTAAAAGTCGGTTTGGAGGTCTGTAAAAGTACACCTTCAGTGGTTACAATTTCCCTAAACTGTGTCAGATGCGGCGAAGCCCTGCTCCGCTCCTCTGTTTGGACAGCAGCTCCCCATCAGGTCCTCATTTCCTCCTCCCTTAACCAACTCTCTCCCTCCTGTCTCCCCTTTTTCTACCCATTCTCTTCTCCTCCTCTCTTCTACCCTAACCCTTCTCTCTTCCTCTTCACTAACTTGTATTTCTCCTCCCCTCTTTGCCATCTCAGTTCCCCTCCCTCGCAAAATTCCTCTTCTTCCTTTTCCTCTTCCCTACCTTGCTCTTCTCTGAATGTAACCTCCTCCTCCTTCTCTCCTCATTACCCTTGTTATATCATCCTGACAGCCAAACAACTCCAGAATTTCTCCCGGCCCCTTCTCTGATATTTCCTCCGTCCCACCTTTAATCTCTCCCTCCCCTCTTTTCTCATCCATCCCACCATCCCCTCCTCCTCCTCTCCCCTTGGTGTTTCAGAGGAATGCTGCGCAGTGCAGACCTGGGTTTGAGTTTCAAGGTCCAGACGGCTGATTAGATAAAGGGTTCAATAAAACTGCGGGGAAAGTTGTGTATATTGATAACACTGCACAGCTGCAACGCACGCATCTCACTTCCTCGTGTGCGTGAGATTATATTCGCAATAAAGGAGTTATAAAGATAATGTACACATTGTAATGACACTTTATTTCCCCAATTGAACGTTATTTTTGAACACATTTTGCATGTCTTTGATTAAAAACACATTACATTTTGTATGTATTTATATTTTTGTAGCACTGTGTATACCAGGTTCTGTAGAAATAAAGCCATCATTTCTTATTTCATACTATAATGGTAGGTACCAACTGCCATAGTGTGCTTAGCCAAATCACCGCTGTATGAGGGCGGAACAAATTGTGAGGGTACTTTTCCCTTCACAAATAAATGGATAATCAAGCATTAAAACATTAACAGATGCAGGCTGGAGTGATTTACATCAGGAATAATTGGACCTGTAATTATAAGTGTGTATGACCACTAAATGTATTTGCCCTATAGACAAAAGGGCGGAGCTGTTTGTTGCCACAACAGATTGCACAACAGACATAACAACAGAAAAACAACACAACCACATGAAATATGGCTATTGCCCTCTCTCTTTCTCTGTCAATTCAATTCAATAGTTGTATTAGCATAGTTACATATAGCATTGCTAAAGCTCTGTATCGTTGCAACATCTACACAAAATCTCTCTTTCTCTCTGTGTCTCTCCCCCTCTCACACTCGAGCTAGTCACACATCCAGTCAGCCATAGTCATACCCTGTCATAAGACTGAGTGAGCGTGTGCAGGAAGCTACATCATTGTTTGAATAGAGACTGAGGCCTGTGTGTGTCTGTTGTGTGTGTGTGACTGGTGTGTGTGTAGCTTGGGGGCAGTGAGGTCACTGCAGAAAATACAGGCCGCACAATAACACACACTTACTGTAAGGCAGAGGTAAGAAGCAAGGTTAGATGGGAAATTTCCCACCATAAGATCAAAAGCTGACCACGTAAAGCTGCAGCTGGTGAAGCTAAATCACAGCAGACCATTTTTAAACTGACTCAGAAGCTGACTTGACAGATATACAGAGGGAATAGAGCCCTTGCGACCGCTTCCAACTCATCAAGAACTTTCCCGACAGGATGTTTGATTTGTTGATAATATAAAAAACAGGAGAAGGAGCCTGTTATGGTCACACCTCAAGATAAGCTGAGGGACTTTCACCTCTGTCTTTCTTATCTTTCTTTCTTTCTCTTTACTGTATCCTAGCAGCATCATTACAGCTGGATGGACCGGCTGTCAGTCGACGGCATGATGCGAACTCCATCACAGATTACATTATCTCATGCACCAGGTTTTTCTTTTCCGCAGCCCTTTGCCACTCTCAAAAGGTGTAAAGATGATACAAAAGTTGAGATTAAAAGGAATTCATAAATGTTGAATGAAGGAGTCTGAATAATAAAATGATTAGTGAATTATACAAAGTCGGCATTTGTAAAAGGGAGATCGAGGTATCGAATAAAGACAAATATTCTTTTCTTCACAAGAACACAAGTTTTAAGTATACCAAATAATGTATAATAAGTAACCTAATTGTTAGTTTTAATAAGGGCCAGAAATGTATATATAGTTTCAATTTGTATGTGTATTCTTTCATGACTATAGTATTTGACTATAACTTTGATAAGGTTAACTTCAATTTGTTTTTAAAGAACTGTGACCTAGATACAGTATGTACTGAACATTTCACATTTGAAAATAGAAAACATTTGACTCTGCTCTCTGCTAAGTGATGGTCCGGTCGGGACCCCCTTGAAAACGAGATTGTGCATCTCAAGGGGTTTATCCCAATGAATAAAAATGTCTATATATATATATATAGTCCCTGTTTCTAAACGATCTCAAACACCTCACATGCGGTCTCTTGTTGTCTGGCTCATTAATCTGTCAACCTTGAGTCTATATCACTGTACGGTGTTACATTGAGCTCTTCTGGTAAATGGTTTTCAATGTGAGAATTGTTTAGAGTTTGATACCTAATCTCTGCCCTGTCACATGAAGTTCACAGCTTCCTGAAAGGACAAAAAACATTTATACCAGACAGGACGTTTAGTCTGACCGGCCCTTTGCCAGGCAAGGCTTGGACTCTCTCTCATAACATGACCGTCTGGAGGTCTCAGAGTGGGATATTTTCTATTAGCAGGCAATAAACTGTCATATCCAACATCCACTGGACTATTTTACACAGTCCCAACTTGCAAAACAAATAAAAGAAGATGTTCAATACCTGTACTGATTCACTTTTCTTTAAAGTAACAATCCATATTTGTATTACAATGTATCATGACATTGGTCTCCTGTAGTGGTGATCTACAGAGAATGATCAACTTAGCTCGCAGCTTATATCAGCTTGATGGAGCTTTACAGTGAGTGCTAACTGTTAAGCCCTGTGGTTTAAAACTGTTATGATTTTGTTCACTTCCACTGGTCTCATAGCATCCATTTAAGGCCATAGCAGGCTGCTGTTTAAAACACCCACAAGACACAACCTGCAGTGTGGCGCTACACAGGGAACCTTTAATATGGCTAATGTTAGCTAAAGTTACCTTAAGGCAGATATTGCTGGATAACATACTATACAGAGAGGTTTTCTTCACTTCAAGACCCATCTATCTATTTTTGTGGGTTTAAAACTTACTGGCTAACGGTTTTCAGCTGTAGATACAGTTGCTGATGTTCTGTGAAATGCACAAAGGTTCACTTTTATGTTCTGCAGTAGATCCCGATAACCCCCAGATTAGATTTATACCCCATTCATCCCACCAGCAACCTCAGTATTCTTTATTTCAAAATCTTCCAATGATATGAGCAGCCGCATAATCCATCCACAGAAACACAAATAAAACAGATTGAGTTTTTTAAAAAGTTTTGTTCAATAGAAAACTGAAGGCGATGACATATAG